GGTCCGTTTATTCGGGGGATTCCTATGAGTCGGTTTTGCAGGGAATCCGAAAACATGGAATTGTGCGCTTGGACTATCAAACAGTCTGAGCGCCACGAAAATCCCATACTGAATCCTGCGGGAGTTCGGTACGTGGGTTTTGTACCGGCCTTTCTGGATTGCAAACACCCAGTAAAGGTTTGGGAAATTTGAGTTTTCGTGCAAGGCTTTTGCTTTGCCCATTCCGCGTCGCACTTTAGCAAGTTCAATGGGAAGAAGAAAACTCGCGAACAGCATCCAACCTTGTCAAGAGGAGGATCTGTATCCTCTTGATCGTCTCATGTGTCCTTAGGTTTGGGATCTAATTCACCCATGCCACCATCAACAACCCGCCAACGTCCTCCTGGTCATTGTCCAGAGAGTCTGGAACACATCCTGGTTGAGGTTCTTGATCTCCCTCCAGATGGTATTCTTGCTCAAGCATTGAAGCATGCTAAAATTACCTGCTTCATTGACCTCATGGCTATGATCGATGTGACGATCGACTCTTGTTTATCCAAGAAGTCAAACACCTAATGATGAAGGCGACTTCCAAGACGACCAACTTGCCCTGGTACCACTGTCCATCCGCAGTCTCATCAAGGTCATCCAAGGATACGTTTACTACCGCAAACATGTCCATAACAATCCTGTCAACCCTGACAACTGCATGGATATTGACTATGGAAGTGTACTCGACTATAGAGCTTCTGGAGAGTTCTTAACTTTTGGTAATAGAACTATTCCACAACCTATTATCCAGAAACCCAGTCGTCGTACCCCTGATGTTGAATTTGATAGAAGCATCAGACGAGACCCGTCGTCTTTCCCATCAATCACAAGTACCGCCCACAAACTGTTGATGAAAAGGACCTCTTTGACCGTCAGCAGGCGTTCATGTATCAAGTCTTTACCACGACTCTCCTCACCGATAAAGGCAAGCAATATGCACAGAAAATTTACAATCAACTTGCTAAAGCCTACACTAAGTCTGTTAAAGCTGATGCCAACGCTACTGGACTTCTACGATGGATTATGACCGCTAAACTTGATGATTCATGGCGTAACACACATGAATCATTCATCATCCATTGGCAAGAACAAGTACGCAAATACCACACCTTGGCAGACATTAGTCAAAGGATGCCCAAAACCCAGCAACACCTGCTACTCAAACAAGCCCTTATTGCTGTCCCTTATCTCGATGAGATTCAGAGACTCTCTAGGATTCTCGAGATGCAAACGGGTAAGGAAATCATTTTTGACGACTATGTCACACTGGTGGAATCTGCAGCCCAAAGTTACGACACTCGCCAAGTCTCCAAGCCTAAGCCTAAAAATATTCCTAGTAGAGATGTCTACTTTACTGGTGTTGATTCCGGCTTAGACGATGACAACCTCGATGTCGAATTTAACATTGATACTGATATTGGACAGCTTCCTGATAAAGCAACGGCTGTTATTCTTGGAGCATCTTCCGATCCCGCACAACCGCCACCGCCCCCACCTCCGCCACCGCGCCGTTCGGTCCATCTTCATGACCTCTCGGATGCTGAACTCCTAGACCACTTGCAGGATGCAAGCATGGGGAGTGCTTCTGGTGCTCTTCCTCCTGAAGTGGTTGATAACGCCAGAGACAGCATCTTATCGCATGTGACTGAACGTCGATCTCTCAAACCTGGAGACATAAAGCGTTTGATGTCGGATGAGCTTGCTGATGTGCCCTCCAACCCCAAGGGCAAGCAGAAAGCCAAGCAACACGAGATGATGATAGATGGTAAAACCTATAGTTCTGTCAATACAGCTACTATCCGTTACTCTGTTACTAGTCATATCAACACTCGTAAGCAAGAACTAGGCCTCTGTGACCGAGGAGCAAATGGTGGAATTGCTGGTGATGATGTTATCATCTTGTCTCAAATGAATCGTACTGTAGACGTTCAAGACATAGATGATCATCAAGTAACGGATGTGTCCATCAAACCACTACCGCATATTGTCTTCACCTATGACAAGAATTGGGATCCTGATGTCCTAGATTCCAGAGTGGGTGACTTCCACAAATGGGCCAACTGTACCCCTGACAATGGATTGGAGGAAGGATTGGAGGAAGGATTGGAGGAAGCCAAGAGCCAATTCGATCAAGTAGATATCCTTAAGAGTAATAAAACTATAACAACGCCAAAGGATTCTATTTTAGATGACGCTCTACACTTCTTTGAAACTTCTGAGTACGGATCACCATTTGATGAACCACATGAGGATTCTGAATGTACCGATACTGGAACAGATTTTCCAGATACTGGCACGGATTGTTTTGACTACAACATGGTCAAGTCGTACTGTCCTGATCCGTACTATATTGATTCTCCCATCCCCATTGTGCTCAAAGTCAACCAGTCGTATAGGCGCCCAAGTCTTCTACTTGTTCCTGACGCCTCCATCAAGTTTGATGTTTAGGTGGGACCATTGTTTACCAAAGAATCTTCTCAAGAGTTGACGCACAATTTGCCAACTAGACCCCCAAAACCAAAGGACACATTCACTATTGACGTACCTTCCAAACCTTGACGCAACACAAGGCGCAAGGTTTGTTTTGGTAATGGTAATCAGCCCTGCGATGGGGAGCAACCAGACACTGGACCTCCACAAAGAAACAAGCAATAGCACAAGACTTTGCCACTAGCTGATACTATGGTGTACAAGAACGCAACTGGGACCGACTGCGTTGATATTTTGCGTGGTTACCTTAGCATTCTTTTCACCTTGCTACTAATTATCTAGCTAGATCTCCCACGAACGACCACCATGAACACAAATATCATCCTCTGTCTCCACTTCCAGAGCCGATCAGTTACATGGTCATCTTGGGAGGCATCGCCAAGCATTATTGTCACAACATGACCAACATATTTCTGTTTCTCGAAACAAACAACGTCTTGTTACCTTCCGACATCTGCTTTGCTCTACCACCTACCGGACTACACAAACGTCTTGATCTACCTGATGGGGAGGAGTTAGCGCTCCCTACAATAACCAAGTCAATTGATCTATCTGATGGGGAGGAGTTGACACCCCCTACAAAAATCAAATCTAGAGACCATAAGTCCCTTAAGACCATTGTTCATTCTAGTGACGATGAATCAGATATAGAAGACGTTCTTTTAGAAGAAAAGGACCTCATTGGACGGACTTTCCTTCTCTCACCAGATGATGAAGGTTATGTTTGACCTGCTAAGATTGTTGAGCTTAATTACAAGCACAATTGCAACACAGACATTCAGCCTGCACGCATTCAACTATGCTTGAACATTGATAAAGGCGAATATGAACGTGTTATGGCTTACCATGAGATCCACAAATGGTCAGAAACTGACAAGGACAACCCCATAGATAGGAAGCTGAAGCAAGTTGTATGCCACCATCACTACATTCGACTTGAACAGTCTTCTTATTACCTGGGTCTGACTTACAGTATGACCATTGGATGGAAACATGGGGAGAATACCCCAGAACCACTGAACATCACTGGAGCCGATGACTCAATGACCTACACTATATACTCAAGAAATCATAACCTACCAGAAAATCAAGGTTGTAAACTTCTTCGAAATATAGTGAAGGACAAGAGGAAATTCCTTTGTCCAACCAATCAAGTCAAGCTGAGATTGCTACATATGACTACACCAAAGTATATGTACAACTACAAGGTCCAGAAGGATCACAATGGTGTTCTTTGACTCGACAAACTCCATGGCAACACCAACTGGAAGCATGCCACCAAAGTTGAGATGGATCTGCTTGCAACGTACAAGGTCCTTGTGGATATGGGGAGAGGAAACCCAATGCCAAAAGATCACCAAAAGTTTGGAGTCCAACTTGTCAATGCCCTTAAACATTGTGACAAACACAAGCCCAGGATCCTACCTTTCGGTGACCTTACCTACGTACTGCCAAACAAAACAAAACCCCACTTTCTATTGACAGACCAATCGGTTGTGGGCATAATCCATCATATGTTGAATGGAACCCCAATCGATTTATTCTCTAAGGAGCAGTCAACTGTTGAGATTGCTACTTATGGTTCTGAGTTTGTAGCCACTCAAAACCTGTGTCAAACAGATCATGGATCTTCAACAGACCTTGAGGTACCTTGGTGTGCCAATCAAAGGTCAAAGCTACATGTTCGATGACAATGAATGTGTTGTGAACAGTTCTTCCCGACCTGAAGCAAAGCTACACAAGTGGCATGTTGTATTGTCGTTCCACCGTGTGAGAGAAGCAGTAACATCTAACATGCTATCTTTTATCCACATTGATGGTGTTCTCAACCCTGCTGATATTCTCAGCAAGCATTGGGGCCATCAGCAAATCTGGCCACTATTACGGACTCTAATGTCCTGGTCTGGTGATACTACTGATCAAGAGGAATAGGTCCTCTGACTTTGCCCCATTTGGGGAGTGACAGAATTCTAATAGGAACAGGACTCGTGACTCGACCTATAGGATTACCAGGTTGAAGTGTAGCCTTTGCCTCCCACGCGTCGCACGTGCGTGAACCGCTACACACCATTGATTTAGCGTAGAGAATGCTGAGTCAGGCATCAGCGTTCTGCGATAATTCTAGAGATTCGCCTGGAAAAGTGATGCACGATCGCTTTTCTCACTGCACGTTGTTTTACCTGAATTGATCTTTATCTTCTTGTAAAATAGCAGTCGCACCATAGGCTTTAAGTCTATCTGTCTACTTTCATTTATTTCTGTCAGACGATGTTGTCACGATGATACTATGGACAAAGTTGTTCATGGAGTGGCAAGGGTATCCGATCGAGAAGAATATCTTGTATCAGGATAACAAAAGCGCAATTCTACTGGAAGAGAATGGTCGCAAGAGCGCGGGCAAAAGAAGCCGAGCTATCAATATTCGTTATTTCTTTATCACAGATCAAGTTGAGAAAGGAAATGTTAAGATCGAATACTGTCCAACTGACAATATGATTGCGGATTTTATGACTAAGCTATTGCAAGGTGAGAAGTTTTGCAAGTTCAGGGATCTGATTCTTGGTCCACAGGAATAGGTCAGACAAGTATGTATATGTTCAAAATGAAAACACAAAACAAAATAAACAGTGAATGAGAGCATGTCCCATTGCTGCCAATGGTGATTGTCACGATGGCAGGAGTGTGTTGAGATATGACAAAATATGAGTTTTTACGTTCACTTAAACGATGCAAAACACTTACCTTTCTCCCCACCATTTTTTTCATGTAGATAAAGTTGGAAATCGGTTCTGGCGGACGTCAGACAAGCGACAGGCTTGTTGTCGTCCAAACTGATTGACAACTTTGTGGCCCATCAAGCCAGCATTGCCAACCAGCCGTGCCAACATGTGACCCATAAAGTCGTCATGCATACGCACTAACCATAGCGATTTCGATCTGTCTAATAGGAAACAATCATCTCTACAGGAAATAGCTAGTATTCTAAAAGACTTGTTATTTACATGGAATGGGCAAAACAAAAACCTTGCACAAAAACTCAAATTTCCCAAACTTTTACTGGATGTTTGCAATCCAGAAAGGCCGGTACAAACCCCACGTACAGAACTCCGGCGGGATTCAGTATGGGATTTTCGTGGCGCTCAGACAGTTTGAGAGTCCAACTGCACAATTCCATGTTTTTGGATTCCCTGCAAAACCGACTCATAGGAATCCCCCGAATAAACGGACCAAACGGACATTTGTCCGTCTGTCCGATCGGACGTGTCAAACTGCTTCTATCAAGGAGTTTCCAATGAATGGTCTCTAAGAGAGCAATTCCAACACTATATACTTCTATATACTGTAAATTCATATACTTAGAAGGCAACAATACCTGGACACCCAAATCATAGTCAATTGAACAGGTAGATTGCAGGTGGCAAATAATAATAACTGAGACATTAATCGTTAATATGCTACTCTATGGGCATTCGATTGCCGGTGAAATATTCGGCTGTAAAGGTCAAGTACTGTGAAGCGGTGAGTCAACAACAAGTTTGAACCATG